AAAAACTACTATACAGTGTAAAGCCTGCTTTTATTACATTTCAGCCAGGAGCATTTTCTGAATGCAGTGGGCCCGTGTTCAAGGTCATAAGTTAGGCCCCCTAACTTTAAGAAAAGTAAATTACACTGCCACCAAAGAAGCTTAGGAAAGGGGGACTATAATTACAATGTGTAATTATAACCCCCCTTTACCCAGCTTCAGTAGTGACAGTGTTAACAATTATAAATTCCCTATCACCCCAGATTTAATGGAGAAAGTCTACATTGTTCATAACTCGCCCCCCCCTCCAGTCCCCTCACTGCCCCCAGCATAATTAGTGGCAAGTCAAAGTCAGCACCTCCGAGGCTCTGTGCTTAAATTGTCTCCTCCTTGGGTGCCTGGTGCCTCTGACTAGTCATGTCAGAAGGAGATAATTTGGCATCTACATAGAGTCCTGGCACACACCGACAGGGAGGAGGCAGGGAGTTGGTCTCTAAGGGAACAGTAGCACTGGTGGCTGCGCCGCACATAAGGATAGTAACTGAGCATGTTTGCAGTGAGTGCAGAATGGACCCCCTCTGCTTGGGCCCGTGTGCTCTGCACACAATGCACACAATAAGGATACACCAGTGATTTCATCCGTGAAGAAGAGGTACTTGTGTATAACTCCCGAAACATGTTGGCTTTCAGCTCTTCATAAGATTGGTACGTTAAATAAATCAATTTAAATGGCAACCCAAAAAACTAAAGCAACACATTTGTATTGAAGCTTGGAGCAACCCATGGCAATGCACTACAATGCGTGCATTCCTCAAAAAAAATGATTAGGTGCTGTTTCTAGTGTTTCTCTGTGCAGTTTATTGGGGTGCGCCCTAATGTGTGGATGCCTTAAGGCAACACACATCAACGTGCAACATTACACATGCAAGGCATCACACAGGTCTGAAGCCAACCTAAAGCAGATTTCACCAGGGGCTACCAGAAAGCTGTGGCTTTTATGCACAAAGGTAAAAGGATTGACTGCATTCTTATGAATATACCGTCTGACCACCACATGCTGTGCAAACAACAGCTGCTCAGAGTATTTTGTTTGATATCAATAAGATAGATGAATCCTCTAGAAATTGTCAAATATTTACTTTCAACATCCAAGAAAACATTGGTTATAAGGAATGCTGGGAAACAAGTAAAAAACATTACTGGAGAAATTCATGACTGTACATCTTTATTTGGACATCAACCTAACTGTTCATGAGAAGTGTTTCAGAACAATGTGACAAAAATATTACACCTTACGTCTTTTATCAAAAAACAAAATGTGGAAAACGACAAACTATGTGGCCAGCTTTACAATTATTTACTGAACAATGTTAAATGTTACTGCCCTGGGATTCTTTTTCTGGGGTCAGCATGAATCGATCTTATAAAACCTGAACTCTTGGAAAAACTGTTTTAAACGGTAAGGCTAGGCATACAAATCAGCGTCAATAAAAGTTCAAAAACACAGATTTGATATCTTCACTTTAACAGAATTAATCTTAAAACTCTTTTAATATAGAGTATTAAAGTGGTTCTTTTCCATAAAGAAAATAGGATGAAGGTTTTTTTACCAATACTTTTTTAAAAGTAATCATGTCAGAAGATAATTGTAGAGACTGGAACTATTGACCTGACATATTTACTGTCAGTTTTTCTAACTCAGGATGCATATTTAAATATCATTTTTTCTCAGAATGTTTTTCTGGCTTACCTGATGTACTAAGTCAGAAACTCTGAACATCAGAAAAGTAAATGAATCACCACAATCTGAGCTGACATATTTCATTCTGAAAAGCATATTTTCAAAAAGTGTCAGAGGTGACCCCTGCTACTATTCAATAAATAAGAAAAATGTCTATTGTGGTGATTCAATTCCTTTTCTGACTGATTTGCCAGATTGCAACACAGTATACAATACAAATAAGTGTCAGATGCAGAAGATTCTTTTGCAACAGTAGAGAGCCAAGATTGGATGTTTTTTTACAGACAATGCTGCTCGGTTTATATGTTTATTTTTGGAAGCAACAGAGTCACTTTTTTATCATTTGAGTGCAACTCTTTAAGTAGAAAACACAAATGGGTCTATTCACTAAGCTGCCGAAGGATCTAGCCGTAGCTTCGGCTGATCCTTCGGTTAGCTTCGGCCCCAGGACCCCTTCGGTTTGACTGAGCCGAGGTGAAAGGCGAAGCTGGCCGAAAGGCCGGCCATTGGCTGGCCGACAGCCTGCTACGGACTGATGGGCGGAGCCAGCCGTCATCTCACGGCTGGCTCCGGCCACTTGCACAGGCAGATCAGTGTCATTGGTTACCAGATAACCAGGGACACTGGTCTCCAGATAGCCCAACTCTCCCGGCCGTCTGGGAGAGAGTAACTTTCCCCCGGAAAGTTCTACTCTGCTCGATCCAGCAGAGTAAACCTTTCCCTGCTCTGTTGTCATTTTTTTTTCTTCTGATATCGGAGCCGTTGGCTGCCATCAGAACAAAAAAAAAATAAGCATAGGAATGCATAGCTACATTCCTATTGGCTATTTCAATTTGCAATAGCCAGTAGCAAACTAGCTATTGCACCCGCCCACTGCTGCTGTCAATCAGCAGAGGGGACCTGCAGTTCTCAATCAGGTCCCCTCTAGTGATTGACAGCAGCAGAGGGCGTGTGCAATAGCTAGTTTGCTATTGGCTATTGCAAATTGAAATAGCCAAAAGGAATGTAGCTATGCATTCCTATGCTTATTTTTTTTGTTCTGGCGGCAGCCAATGGCTTCACTATCAGAACAAAAAAAAATGACAACAGAGCAGGGAAATGTTTACTCTGCTCGACCGAGCAGAGTAAAACTTTCCGGGAGAGTTTTTTTTTTTATCTTTTTTTTTTTCTGACGGCAGCAGGACTGCCCGGCCAATAGAAAACAGTTGGGCGAAGCTAGCTGTCACTGCTAGCTCCGCTCCAATCGTTTTCTATTCCTTTTTTTTCCACTTTTTAAACAATTTTTCTACTTTGCTCGATACCACAGAGGTATCGAGCAGGATTGCCGAGCCGAATGCCGCTCAGCAGGCATTCGGCTATTCACTCACTGCTGTTCGGCATCTATGAGAATAGGCCAAACAGCAGCGAGTAGCCTGCCGGAGGTTCGGCTCAGCCGGTCCAGATCATGGATCGGTTGAGTCGAACTCCTTCTGCACTTCGGGTCGGCCGAACAGTGTTCGGCTAACTTCACTTGTGGTCGGTTGTTCACTCGGTTGCCCTCGGCAGCTTAGTGAATAAACCCCACAGTGAACTATAGAAAAGCATAAACTACTACAAAAACACAGTTATATATAAACATCTATAGACATATTTACATGACTAAGTATTGGTACAACTGGAGCCCTTGGATTTACCTTCACTCTGCTGAGATTTAATACAGAGATGAAGTCATCACAGGTCTAGCCCAATGACATCATCATAAAGCATGTGATGCTCCTTCATCATTCAGGCTTCATACCCACAGGAGCTGGATGCAAATGAGCTCCCAGCAATCTGTGCAAAATTCAGTCATTGAGGTGAGACTATTTCCGCAGCAGGGGCCAATTCAGGGGAGAAATACAATTGAACAGGACTGCCCACAAAAGCTACTATGAATGATCATTTTACTGTAGAAGGTGTGCTCAAAAAAACAGGCAGAGGGCAAATAACTAATTTACTGTATGGTCTGTAGGCTCCCTGCAACTGATCTTGGTAAATGATCAAGACTTTGCTTCTTCATGTCAGAGCTGCCCCCCTGGTGACTGGTGATCCAATGATTGGGGAGAGGGGGGTAATTTTCAGGAAGTAGCAGGAGGTGAAGAAGGACAGATCCACATAATAAATGAAGCAGAAGCTGGCACCGCAGGTCCTCAGGTACAGCATCCACTCCAGCAAGGAAAACAGTGAGCAGCACAATAATAACTTTACCAAATCTCACTCTAAATCTCATGAGGTCAGCAGTCACACAAATCAGTGCCTTGGAGGACCTAACACTGCAGATATACAGCTTTAAGGCTGTGGGCAAAGGCATATGTCAGGCTGTGGACTGCTATTTTCAAAAGGAATTCAAGGCAAAAGGTAAAATTTTCAGGGTGCAGCTCAGGCATAACCTCTCTATATTTTCCCTATAAAATAGCAAATCTTCTTTTTTTATTATAGATTCACTTAAACATAATGCAGCATAATGGGAAGCTACACACTTTAGAACACTTGTATGTGCTGAGTTATTTAAAAAAAAATACACCCTATATACACCAGTCATCAGGGTGCACTAGGTGGACATCAGGGGTAAGTCAATCTTCCAATTTGGACACCTATGTATATAGAGCATTATGCCTTTCTGAATATTTTGGTGCATGGGGCTGTCTGAAAATCTCCGCTCATAGCTAATGTTAACAGACACCTAACTAAGTGCAGAACAGTGTATGAAGGATTCCAGGTTCCTTAACCTCCATTCACATATAGCGTTTGCGCTTCCAATGCGGTTTTCCACGCGGAAGACCACACGGCACAAAAAAGCTAATTTGTGTGTGCGGATTCCGCCACTGAAATCGCGCTTGGACTATTTTGCGAGATGCACGGTACAATAGTTTGAAGAATGCATTGTTTTTTATGTTTGAATGGAGCCTTATTGTGGTGAGTGGCATGGTGTGGCAGCTTCATCCTACTCCATTTCATAGTTAGTTTCACTAGTAACAGGGCAGGAATTAGCATGAGAAACACCATAATCACGCAAGCCTTGAAACCCAAAGAAGCAGTAAAAAAGAGATAGTATAATTAGTAAAGCTTGCAAGGAATTTATCAATTATGAAAGTTGTCAGAAAGTAGACAACCACTGAAAATGTATAGGATACATGAAACAAAAAAGGCCCTGTAAAAAAACTGCATAGGAACACATCCAGCTGCAACTTTCTATGTAGAAATTGTAGAGGCCAGGATGTAGACTGCAGAACCTGTAAGTGGAACATCATATTACACAACACTTTGAAACGCAAAATTTGAAAGAAATGTGTACAACAGATTTCATGATGTGCAACTTGGGTGGTCTTATGAACAAGAATTTATAAGCTGTGTTTCCATCCACCGTTCTCCTGATCTTACATAAAAGCAGCAGATCTGCTAGTGATAACCATTTAGAGTAAAGTTCAGATGATCAACATGTGTAGGTGAAGTGATACAATCGTTGTAGATATGACTCAGAGCTAAGCTCAAAATTTCTTTCTTCTCTTTATAAAACCGCAGCTCTCTGCCAGCTTTTCTAGACTCTTCCAGCTCTCGGAGAGCAAGCTGAAGCTCCTGAGATATGATTCCTGGTGTCTCCTCTTCCTTCATGATCCAGTCCAATGCCATGTGGCTTCTCATCCGTTCATCTAATGTGTACTGAGAGTAGTAGGCAATAACCTCCTGTTTTATAAAAACAAAATTGGTTACTCAAACACTGTGCTGGGTAGTTATCAACATGTTAGCATGGCACACTACTACACACATACTACACTACTACACACTACTACACACTACACACATAATCTACTGAAGGTTTGCCTTGGCATTTTATTTAGGGCAGTCGGGGTATACCTGGGAAGGGCCCTAATGTAACATTCCCGGTTACCTCCAACATCAGGTATAAAATAATTATGTCTCTGATCAAAAAGTAATAAAAAAGGAGACTACAAACAAAACTTTGTTGGAAATTTGCCCCCATCAGGAAGAATTTTATTTACTTCCTGTCCCAGAGACAAGGAAGTAAATCGAAACAGGAAGTACATTTCTTCAAACTGAGGGAAAAACCAGCCTTTCAAATTGCAATAGCCAATAGCAGGCTGGCTATTGCACCCGCACACTGAGCAGAGGAGCGGACCTGAGAGAGAACTTTCTCTCTCAGGTCCGCTTCTCTGCTCAGTGGGTGGGATTTTAATAGCCATCCTGCTATTGGCTATTCCAAATTGCAATAGCCAATAGCAGGATGGCTGTTGCTCCTGGCTGCTTACAGTCACCTGTTGACTGCGAAAGCAACCAGAAACAACAGTTATCCGGCACCTACCGATCCCTGTGAATGCTGGATAACTGGGAGTTTACTGTAAATACAATTCAGTTGTTCAAATTAACATCTGGCCATTCGTGGGCTCTGTAAGGACAAAAGTAGCCATATGATATTATTTAGCATGGAACAATAACATGTACAGTTTAGGGTAAGAGGCCCTACAATAATATATAACAGGGAGCCTTGTGGTTTCTGAAGACAGTTCTTCTGACTTGTAAGTAGAGGAATTTAAGACTGGGAGCCATTGTTTTATGATATGCTTAAGGTATTTTTGTAGCAGTCCCAGAAGGTTGTTGCTTACTGGTGGTTAATAGATATCAAGGACTGGTAAACATCCCAGTGCTGAATATTTCAACATTCCTTTATTGTATGCCAAATCAAATGAATGTTAATAGGTAATAACATGCTACTTTAATTATATAGCACTATTAGGGAAAATATAATTCATATCAGAAGAGTGATCAGGTGCCAGATTTGAGACACCAACAGTCTAATGGGTTGCAACCATTGCTCTAGATCAGCCTTTCTCAGCCAGGGTGCTGTAGCACCCTCAGGTGCCTTCTGGCTTCCTCAGTGGCGCTCCTGATGTGAAAGAGGGGGAATCTAAAGTGAAGGAGGACTTCTAATGTGAAGAGGTGCTCCAAGTGTGAGAGGGGGTGACTCTGATGTGAAAGAAGGTTGATCCTGATGTGAAGGGGGCTCCTAATGTACAGCTGAAGTCTGATGTGAAAGGGGAAGGGACTCTTTTGCAAAGAAGGCTCCTAATGTGAAGAGGGGACCCCACAATTGTCTGTGTTTTTGCATGGGGGTTCTCCCTTCAAATCCATACCATAACACCTATCATGGATAAGGTTCTGGTATGGATTTTAGAGGGATCAGACATCATTTTTCAAATTTTTACATTTATGTTTTTTCATTTTAGACTGGGGTGCCTCAAGAGTTTGCATTCTTTTAAAATATGCCATAACTGAGAAGTGCTGCTGTAGATCTTGTAATGTCAACACATTGAGAACTACATAAAGTGCAGTGATTCATTGCTTTTTTAGACTAAGGGCTACAAGTGTTATAGGACACTGCCCATTCATTGTGCTACCAGCCCATCCCCGGTAGTATACAGTGGTTGCTGTACACAAGTGCCGTTTTCCTCCATTTGATTATGTGTTTGAAATGCATGTCAAATGAAGGTCATTAAATTGTTATTGACTTTTAATAGAGCAGCACACATGACAGTTCAGTTGCTGCATTTTACCTGCTTTGCGTTGTACTGTGCTTCTTTGGACAAAGAATGTGACAAAACAAGTCATTTGTTGTCAAAGGCTGCTTTTTCTATTCAAATGCATGCAGCTGCGTTCCAATGGAAATGGTTGGGATTGACAAGAACACTCGCTGACATGAGCCCTTATCATTATATTTTTAAAAATTATTATAAAGCAACAGTATTTATGAGTAATAAACTTCCTATAGTCTTACGTAGAACATTCAAAAATCCCAAAATGTTCCAGGCCATATTTATAAACTTTGACCTATCTTTTGCTTGGAAACTACATTGCACATTTTATCTTAGTTTTTTATTCATTAATTGTTTATGTTTTGGGTAAGAGTATTAGTCACTAGTATTTTTTGGCTGCTGAATTAATAAATTAATTATTGGTTAAGTCATAAATATAGGTGATTTCTGTTTAGTTAAAACTGGCAATATGACAATACTGGTAGAGCAAGTTAATAGACTTCTAAAACATCTGCATTCTTAATTTAGCCTTTCATGTTCAAATAATAAACAAAGTGAACAGTGAATATATTTTTAGTTGCAGATCTAACTGAAGAAAATTGAGACCGTGCCGTCTCCGACACATGGTTTGTGTAGGGCATGCTTCCGCAGCACACATGGAATTTATTTCACATTTTCAAATAGAACCAAAACAATGGTGATTCAGGGATTGAAACACAGGATATGCTGCAAAGGTTTATTTTATAAATCCCGGACGAAAATAAAATAGCATGCCGTTAATTAATTAAGAATGCATGTTCCTGTTTCGAAAAATGGTGGCAAGGCTTTGGAGCCAACGGCACACACACACACACACACACATAAAACATGGTATAAGATAATGTGCTGCTGAACACACATGCCAAAACAACAGTCAATGTAATGTAACCTATTGAGGTCTTCTACTCTGAGCTGGTATACTGTGATGTGAAAGCCATAGATAAAAGGAGAGTGCAGATTAGGCTTAATCTGTAAATAACAAAACTGCCTCAGAAGAGTATAATATATAGAAGTAATCATTGTAGTCAATTAGAAGAATTATTATGATGGGTCGGATTGTGTAATATCCTTAAAGTCCATTTCCACCTTTGTAAGTGATTTGCATTTATTGTGGTAATGAAGAGGTGCAGTGATGATGTATACATGTGCACATTTTCATTAATCACATTGCAGACTTTCTTCATTTTTTTGTGAACGTTTTATTAGGCCTGAAGCCTAAAAGTTAAACATATTCTCCACAGGAAATTCAGACAGACACCAGGGTCAGATGGTAATTAGGCTGTAATCACCTGCCCCCCTCCCTGTCACCCAATGTAACATGATCAGTAAACACCAACTCTGCCTCAATGTACAATTGGAAGGATTGGATGCTGCAAGGTGGAGGCCAAACTTGACTAAAAGGAAAAGTCAAAATTTTCAAGTAAATTATTGGTTCTAGTGATTACTTGGACATTGGCTTTTTTCTGCTCTTGCATTTATTCTTCACATGCTAAGTTTGAGCTGCCCATATTTGTGCCAGGTTTACTTTAAGACTCTAGAGAGCCCTAGATTTTAGGCCTGTAGACATGTTCTTTTCTAATTTGCTGTAGTCTGCTAATTTCTGATTTGCTGTAGTCTGCTAATTATTTTCCTTCTTGTGTGATCAGTTTCAAGTAAACCTGTGAGCTCACCTCACCCTTTAACACGCTCCCAGGTTCATAGAGCAGATACCTGCTCACATCCCCAGATTGTCATTAAAGTACCCTAGGATTACCAATCCTTTTGGCGCATTATTTTGCAAATAGCAAACACAGCTATTTTAACAGTCTGGCTAGGATTGGTAAACATAAAGTATTAGAAGGACTAAAATACTAACCTTTTGTGGAAATGCTGCTCCACCCTACTCAATGTGCTGGATACATGAACCCAAACACCTAAGCATTTGATCACATTTGATTCCCCCTTTATCAGATATCGTTTGACTAAAGCACTATGCTTTTACACAGGTTAACTAGAATAGGTTGAGGTCTAGATCAGCATTTTCCCATATAAGCATTTTAGCCCTACTATTTCATGTTATTTATCCATAGCAAGACTGAGATGTAGCTCAAAGCTACAATATGAGTATGGGTTTGATTCAAGCCCTCTCAACTGTCCAGTTATTTGATATATCATATCTGTTAATTCATTGTTACATTTTCAATTGCTACTAAAGTTGAATAATTTTTTTTTCAAAATAGCTTTAAAACTCATTATTCTCAACTACTAATGCTATAGCATGTGTTATTTATAACAATTCTTATTTTCAGCTCTGGGTGAAAGTAACTATGAAAATAAATAACATTATTGCCAATAACAATTGCTATAGCTTGGAAAATTGTACCTAATATTTTCTATCTTGGTAATTTTAAAATTTCAATGAAAGTTATTGTCAGCAAGGTATAAAAAGGCCTAAAGATCAAATCTTCTGGGAGTCAAAGAGTGGAACACAGGAAAGTGCTTGTAATATGAAATAAAACTAGACAGGTTTTCACAATTCTGGGTCAAAAGCTGCAATTATAGCGAGTGCTGCTGTGACGAGATGCTTGGCGCCATCCCAAGATAGGACTATAAACCTATAATTGTCACAAGGCAATGCAACCTTTCGGCCCTTATGTTGATAACAATATGTTTAAAAAGAATCCTATATTGATCCAAGAATAAGGAGTTCTGGTGAGAATCATGTTATGTAATAGTTTATGTCAAAGTCTTAGTTTTTGGCACACAGAAGGACAGTCAATGCCAGCCTTTATCTTACAAGGTGTCCGAAATCTCTTCACCCGCATCATGGGACCCAAACCTAGAGGAGCCATAGCAAGTCCCTTGCCAAAAGGTACTGAAACTGGATTGGACTACAATTTTATTCCAGTCAAAGATCTAATAGTCTTACCAATCTTTAGGGACTGTAGTCTATCTTTAAGATGGAAAATATCATTTATTTATGTAATCATAATTTCATTATTGCATTTAAAGCAATAAATGTTGTATATCTTTAAGGAATCTGTTGAAACCTACAAATTAGATTTTGTAGGAAGTTACAGCTTTGTTATCAAAGATATTAGTAATTCATCTGAGACT